CATTAATAAGTTCAACATCAACGACATTCGTTAACGTATTAGCCGCTTGTATTTGACCTTTCTCAAGAGATGTTTGGAAACTCGTAAACGCCTGAGTTATATGACGATCGGCAATATGAAGAGCGCCACAAACAACACCAAGTAATATATCTGGTTTTTCTGACTGCACTCGTTCTGCTATTAGTGCATCTAACCAAGCTGTATCAATTGTGTTATCTAGAAAACTGTTTGTTTCCAAAAGTGTGATCAAATATTCAACGGTAGTACGAAAATCGCCACGAATCGAGAGCTCTTTCAGAGCAATGACAAGATTTTCACGTGCTTGTTGTCGATTTTCACCCCAGGAAAAGCAATGTCCAAACTGTGAGTCCGCAAATTCATGCAACCCACCAGAAGCAGCAACACTAAAGTAACCCCACACATTTTTACTGGAGCGAAAATTAAGTTCCTGTACAGTACCAGAACTGGGTTTAAAACCTTCATCAGGATTCTCGGAAGTAATACGGGCAGCAATTACATGGCCAGATGGTCTTGGTTTATGCGTGGGGCCATCAAAATCGATTATTGAAGTTCCCCATGGAGATTCACCATACAGCAGACGTATGTCCTTAAGACGGTACAGCGGAATACCCATACCGATTTGAAGTTGGCAAGCAGGTAGATTAACATCAGCAACCATTTCAGTACATGGATGCTCTACTTGTAAACGAGGATTTAATTCCAAGAAAAAGTATTGTCCTTCTGTATCGTACAAATATTCTACAGTACCAGCGCTTACGTAACCAACCATTTTTGCTAGACGTACAGCAGCTTTTTCCATATCCTCAAAAACTTCAGGCTGTGCTACAATGGCAGGTGCTTCTTCAATAATTTTTTGATGTCTTCGCTGTATAGAACAATCACGACCAAATAAACTAATTGCATTCCCATACTGATCTGCTAGCAGTTGCACTTCTAAATGACGAGCGCCACTTGCTAATTTCATAACAAAGATTGGTGAACCAGGAACTTCAGCTAATACTTGACGGAATAGGGCAGGAAATTCGTCAGCTGTATCTACACGACGTATACCTTTACCACCACCACCTTCAGATGCTTTTATCATAACAGGAAATCCTATAAAAAAAGGGATACATACAAAATAAATATTAAAAAAAAAAAAAGATTTAATTTAAACTCACCTATTTTGCTGACAGCTGCCAAGCCTTGTTCAACGCTATTTACACAACCACGCGCAAAAAGTTCACTTGAAATTTTAATTTTCTTGCCACTATACTGCGCTTTTAAACCTGAACCAGACCATGGTAATGTGGGGATATCTGCAGTTTGTGCAACAATGGAGGAAGCTACCTTGTCACCTAGCGCCCACATAGCACGTTCTGGTGGACCCAAAAACACTAATCCTTCTTTATGCAATAATTCTGGAAGTTTTGGATTTTCTGACGCATGACCCCAACCAGCCCACACAGCCTATATAGTAGATATAATATATACAAATAAACGATTTAGTTTTTTTTTTTTCAAGTACAGAAATGTTTCATTTCTGTGTTTAACTAACCTGCACACGAGTACGTAACGCGATATCTACAATCAGTTCAACATTTGCATAATTATTGTTATTTGATCCACCAGGAACAGGAACGTAATGATCTGCCATTTTTATATACTCTGCATTTGCTTTTAGATCTTCCGGTGTAACCATAACAACAAATAGCACAGCCCGCTCATTCTGGAACATTTCATAAGACCATCTACGCACAGAGCGCATACATTTAACAGCTGCAATACCATTATTAGCGATGAGTATACGATTAATGGCTCGTGTACCACCAAACTTTTTAACAAACTCCTCTGTGGTTGCTACATGAAAATCTCGATCTTGATAACGGTCTTGACCCAAACCAGTGCCACGGGACATACTAGGCCTGAAAGGAAATAAGCACATTATGATATTTATTACCTTTTAGGAAAATTTTAATAAAGTAAAATTGTTGCTTTTATAATGTTTAATAACTTTCTTCAAAATTCAAACGCTTCTTATTCTTTTGATCACAATGTTTCCAAAAAACCACATTAACTATGGGGTTGTATTCATTAAAAATACGGTTCGAGCTAAACATGTTCTAATACAAAATAATGTTAACTGTTATAAAGACCTATTTGGCAATAGTTGAAGAAAACTATTACTAGGAATCTGTACTGTTGGCGTATTTTTAGTCTAGTAGTTGCATTAATATAATATAAATATTTTAAAATAAAATCTAAACTATTCTCTTTTTGTCTCATTTAACTTATGATTGGCAAAGCGAATAAAATTATTCTAAGCGTGAAGGTGCCGAAATTATTTATCAATTTTAATTAAAACTAGTATGAACACCCTTCACACAAATATAATAAGAAACATAAGTTTGTATGGTTGGTATATTAAAATAAATAAATTAGTAATAGGTTATTATAAAACCTCTAAGTTCAATATTCCATACCAATACCGATAACCGATACCGATATTAATACATTTCTTTATAACTTAATGTAAATCAATTGAAGGTACTACATCTGCAAGTGCAAGCTTTGTATAATTTTATCTTAGAAAGGTATTTAAAAGGACGTATCCAGTGAAAATTCACTGATTAATCTGAGCTATGATTTGTTGATCCGAATAAATTGTTGAGACTTTGTATCGGTCTATATCATCGCAAACAACTGCTTTGCTAGCGTTGAATTCATTATATTTAGGTATCTAGGCACTATCTCTTGACCTTGGTAGGTATAAAAGCAGCTGCAGGCCAACTTGCATTCAGTTTTACAAGATTGATGAGATTGTAATTATTGTACTATATTTCAGGAATTACATTGAAGAACACAAGTGTTTTTTTCACACCTGTTTTCACTTCAGACACAGAGCGTAGAAGTCATACTCAACGTTACCGTACTGTTAGTTTTGTTACCATATTTTTTTTATAAAACTGAATCTCAATCCTACAAAATATACTCTCCAAAACCGAAAATAAGTTCTAGATTAATCCGGCACTTCGAAGTTTTATTGCCTTCGCAGGTGATAATAGGTGGACACTATCAATTATGGTTCTGTCTATTATCCTCTCGTTTTTAGACAAGCAAAATTAATTAGTTAATGTATTAGTTAGTCTTGAAATGAAAGCATAAGGTTATGAGGATGGCTAGATAAGAAGTGGGTATAGGGAGATTACATTTACCCTGTATTAAGGTTCATTAACGTTGCCATTTCAATGGAGTAGGTATATAGCCATAGGCAAATTCAACTTATCAATGTGTGCCGTAGGATATTTAACCCATTAGAAAATGGTATTAGTAGGAGTAGAGTTGTAGTTTGGGAACACGTTAATTCAGTACAAGTAACTGTTTAATACGTGAGTATATCTAAACCTCATTTGGGTCAAAACATATTCATATTTTTCGAGATGCTCTCAAAGCAATGTAAAGAATAAATGAAAACGGCGATAAATGAAATAAATGCTATGAATGATATTGGATCTCATTAGTATATTCATATACGTTCAGGTAAGTGAAGTCAGACTATATTCTGACCTTAGTTGAGTCACAAAAATGTTCTTTTTACTTAATGTAGTCGTCTCTCTTTCTTGAAAACGTTAGGCAAATTGTCTTAGAGATCCAAACTATAATAGAATGTGCAACTATTAAAAGACATTGCAAAGGTTTTCTATTTAATCGGTATATTGAAATATTTGACATTTGATCAATTTTGATAGTAACTATACGGGAACAAGATCTAAAATATATCATTTTTATAAAAAAGAAGTTAACAGCTTTAGATATTAATGTTGATATATAACATTGCTGCAAACTATAGTGGTATTGTATTAAAAGTTTTATAATATTAAGTGACGGAATTTTGATGAAACATTTAAAAGTATTGGTATTTCAAAAATAGTTAAATTCAATTATTTTAAGAGATTTATTTAGAAAATTAATAATCTGTCAGATTATTATTATTCATAGACAATTGCGAGCAAGGGAACTATGTTAATTAAATTGTTTATTTTATGTGTATTTTATTGTATGTATTTCAAAAAAATTAATTAAATACTATCCGTAAATCTGATTAAGAAAATGTTGATAAAACTCTACATTAAATGTGATAGATTGATATTGTCGTAATAGATAAAAGCAATAAGTGTTCCCATTATTTTGTAGTAAGTATAGAACTATACTTATATGCTACATTTTAAAAACGGGACAGATATTTGTTTCCATGTCTCAAATAATAACTATATTGAATAAATTTAATATAGTAGTGATGTATAAAATTAATATATAATAGATATATTTGAGAGATATACTTAAAAGTGATAATTGTTCTCATATTTTTAAAGTAGATATAGAAACATATGTTATATGTGATAGATCACACATGTGACATGAATATAACGACTAAGTAAGTAAGATTGAATTTGGGGGAAAGGATGAGTTTGAACTAAAGCAAGATAATTGTCAATTTTTGATAAATAAATGATATCGTAAGTTGAAGGGCTGTTGAAGTGTGGGTGTAATGGGTTAATCAAACATATATTAAACATATATGTTAGAAATAATTTAATGTGCCGTAAATATTTATATAATATGGTTCTGTCATTTGCATAAATTGCTAACCAAACAGGTATGTACCTTCTGCTCAAAAAGTATTCGAATTTTGTAAATAAAACACTCAATTTTATTCCAAATTTATTTTATTTCCTTCAAAATATACTCCTTCTGAAGCGATACATATATGCCCACGTTTAACCCAATCTTCCATACACTTTTCGTAGGCCCGTGCAGGTATAGCTTTTAGTTCCTTCGGCGAATTCTCTTTTATCGATTCAATCGACTCAAAACGCTTACCACGAAGGGGCAATTTGAGTTTCGGGAACAGGAAAAAGTCGCACGATGCTAGATCTGGCGTTCTCTGAATAGAGTAAAAAACCTTGATCAAAAAGTTTCAGAAATTATCGCTAGGTAGCGTTTTTAGGAAGTACAACCAAGTGATGCTTTCACTTAAAGGTTAATACTTCTGTCTTTAAGTTACTCTTTAAAATCTTATAATTTGACATTTGTAAAATCTACAATGGCGTGGGTACGTCTGCTTCCGTGTGTATTCTCAATTTATTACTATTTTGAATATGGATAACGACACAGCTACTAAATTCTCCTGATTTGGGGATTTCTTGCCGTTTGAACAGCTCAAGAAATCACTTGGAACGCGTTTTAGTAGCCGAAAAGATACAACAAAAATCGCAGATGAGTCTGATAGCTACACAAAAAATTCAATTTTAAAAAATGTTTCAAGAATCGAGTGTGTATTCGTCAATAGAGAGTAATTTAAAGGAAACGATATCGATTATCAAGAATAAACTTGTATTTTCAATGTTCTGAATAAATCCCTAAACTTTTTGATGAAAGTGTTTTTTTACGACTGTAATCCATACAATGAATGCTCTTGTTGTGTACCTATTGTGTGTGTACACAGATAAATGCTTCTGGGATGACCGAGTCGTTTATGAAACCTTAATATATTCCTAAAAAATTGCTCATAAAAGTGTACGTATATTTCATTAAATGCACAAAATTTGTACGTATAGAACATTTTTTAATTTATTTTTTCTGGGATTCATTGAAATAAAGGACGTTACGTTAAAAACTGTTTCAGTTTCTGATAATATTAATAATATCAAGAGGAACACCTTAAGGTGGCTGATCTCATTGATTACCTGACAGAGATACTTCAAGTATCACCTCAAAAAGATAACTCTTGTTGAGAAAGACACTTGCAGACTATGTTTAGAAGAAAAGGATGCACTGGCAAGCTGGGGTATGACTGTCTTAAGACTCCATTAGGTTGGTGATGACTTGGCAGACAATTTCAAGCCAAATGAGTTGCTTGCAATAACAAGAGATGTAGTTATGTGAATGGAAGTCTCTCTAGCTTTAACTCAATAACAACATTCGAGAATCGAAGGATGATAAAGAACCCAAGTCGTTTCATGGTCTATTTCGATTAATCCTTCAGTGAAGGTACGCTGTCCCAACGTCAGACGCTATTATATGTGATTCCAGATGGTTTGTATTTTTATAATTTATATCGTAACAGATATTTTTAAATTCTAATAATGTTATTAATATTAAACAGACATCGTTATGAGATGGACTACACTTTGATATGTACTGCCAGATGTTTTAAACTTTTATAAATTATAGGAGTAGCACAACAGATGTTTTCAATTGCTAATAATTATAGTTATATTAAGCAGATTTATCGTAATGAAATTGAAATTTGTTATGATATGTGCTTCCAGAGGTTTAAGACTATCACAGATTATATCGCCATAGATGTCTCTGATTGATGACAATTCAGTTTATTTCATTGTCTTAAAACAAGTTAATACTTAAATATTAGGTATTTCATCAATAAATAAATTGTACCTATGAACCTACGCAATTCAGTTTTTAATAGCAGAAATTAAACAATGAACTTTGGTCACTGCTTAACTTAAGAAAACATCTTTGAAATTTTCCCCAAAGTAACCGGTTTTGCCTATCTATCTTCAATGCGTGAATAAAAAGTCTTCAAGTCATGGGAATAAATGAACAGAAATCAATGTAAAATTCATTGAATCAAAATAAATAGACATATGCATAGCATATATGTATATATAAATATAACAGAATCAACAAATATCTAACAAAGTTTAGTTTACATACTATATATTATATAATATTTATTTAATTAATAATGAAAAATGCAATTTATTCGTACCAAAGTTGACAACCGAATAAACAAATTAGTGACAACATTCAATTTAGTAGTACTTTTAGTAGTACTCGTATAATATTTGTTATTTATAAGCGAAAAATGCAATATAGATATTTATTCATTTAATACATGTAT